TGTTGGGGTGGATTTTGATAGTTTGCCAGTAAAACTTAAAGGAAGTATTTGTTTTGCCTACATTTCACAACTTTTCTATCAAAGCAAATGTGAAAGATTTCCTCAGGTGTCTTTCTGACCACAAAACATGCGGACTTAGCCGTTCTCTTCTTTTTTGGAGAAGGCAACCAACCTTATTGTGTAGATACACCAGATATTTTATCAGACTCGAATTCCTCTTTTTAAATATTAATTGAAGAAAACTTTTTAAGAATAGTGTATTGTAATTCTCATCACTTAACGCGATGTGGCTTATCTCATCAAGTTATTTTCTTGTTGCTGTTGAACCATTTTAATGCAGATACTACACATTATAGCATTTTTCTTCCTTAATAATTCAGTATGCCTCTCTATAAGTTAATTAATTTTTTGTGTGTGGGGGGGTGGTACCAGGGACTGAACTAAGGGGCACTTGACCACTGAGTCACATCCCCAGCTCTATTTTTTTATATTTTATTTAGAGACAAGATCTCACTGAGTTGTTTAGCTCCTCACTTTTTACTGAGGCTGGCTTTGAACTCATGATCCTCCTGTCTCAGCCTCCCAGGCTGCTGGGATTACAGGTGTGCACCACCTTGCCCGGCAAGTTAAGTAAGTTTTTGTATATAACCATAATGCTATCATCACACCTAGCAAAGTTATTAATTCTATATTATTACCTAATACCCAGATTACTCTGATTCTCCCCAAAATGTTTTTGGAGTTAGCTTCTTTGATTGATGATCTACCAAAATCCACACATTATATTTTATTATAGATTGAAATCTTTATGTGTATATGTGCTCTTTGATTTGTTGATCATGTTTTATTTTATTTCCTATAAAGTAAGTCCTTCTGCATTTAAAAAAATTTAAACTTCAATTTTTATGGTTTTACTTTTTTTATACCTTTGATAGATTGATCAAGTTTTCTTTTACTTGCTATAAAGTTAATTCTTATAACCTTAAAAATAAACCTTAATGTTGTGTTGCTGTCCCTTTGCACTAATCTGTGTAATCAGATGTTTGGTGACTATAAACTGCTGTCCCATGGAGTTGCTCGTCCTTCTGTTCCTTAGTTTAAATAGAATGTGTGCTTGCCTAGTGCCCGCAGAGCTCTTCGAGAGAAGTATTATGTATTGGTTTCTTTAGAAAGACCATAAAGCTTCAGTCGTTCATAGATAGTGATGGAAACATCCTCCTCATGTTTTATCTTCAGACTGTGAAGGCGTGTATTAGCTTTTGCTTCTTAGAACCATTTCTAGAAGAAGTATAATTGAATAAGCTAGTCTCCAGAACAATTATTTCTAAACACAGGGCCCCCTATGTGCAGTGCTATAGCATGTGAAAGAATCATCATAGGCTGTGATTTACGGTTGTGATCCAAAAATCAATAATTAACTATGTCTTTGTTTTCCCATTTTTTTTAATTGACAAAGATTGTATATATTTATGTATACAATGTGTGATGTTTTGGTATATGTACAGGTTGCAGAATGGCTAAATCAATCCAATTAGCATATGTGTTGCCTCACATACTTTCATGTGGTGAGGCAATATTTTTGCAATATTCAAGCATACTCTACATTGTTATATAGCCACCATGTTATATAGTAGGTCTGTTAAACTGTATTCCTCCTGTGATTTTATATCCTGTGTCCTTTAATGAACATTCCCATTTTGCCTCACTCTCCCCTGATAGTCGCCATTCTAGTCTCTGCTTCTATGAGTTTGACTCTTTTAGATTCTACATGTGGTCTCTATGGGATTTATCTTTCTGTGCTTGGCTTATTTCACTGAACATAATATCCTCCAGGTACATCCATGTTGTTACGAATGAAAGGATTTTCTTTCCTTCTTTTTTAGTTCTGGATAGTGTTTTATGGTATGTATATGCCACATTTTCATCATCCTTCGTCTGTTGGTTGACACTTAGGCTGATTTCCGTATCTTGGTTATTGCAAATAATTCTATGTTAACCATGGGAATGCAGGTAGCTCTTTCACGTACTGGTTTCCTATTCTTTGGATATATATCACTGGTGGGTTTATATGCAATTCTATTTTTAAGTTATTGAGGAACCTCCATACCACTTTCCATAATGGCTATTCTAATTTCCAATACCACTAACATCATGCAAGAGTCCCGTTTCACTAGTAACCATTCAAGCAGGTATGAGATAATCAACCCATGAAGTGTTCAATGGATGGGGACAGAAAAAATAATAATAATCGGCATCAGCAGTTTAAGATTCATTAAAAAGGGAAGTCATGTTTATTAGAAAACTAATATTTTTAAGAGTAAGGTTTACCCAGCCCTTTCATAGGCATGACTTTTCTTTTTTCTTTTTCTTTTTTCTTTTTTTTTTTTGAGAGAGAGAGAGAGAAATTTTTTAATATTTATTTTTTAGTTTTTGGTGGACACAACATCTTTGTTTGTATGTGGTGTTGAGGATCGAACCCGGGCCACACGCATGCCAGGCAAATGTGCTACTGCTTGAGCCACATCCCCAGCCCATTACTTTTTTCTCTTAATGATCAGAATATCCACAAAAGTGACTGTTATCTTTCCTTTACAAATGATTAAATTGGAGTTTGAAGAGATTAAACGGATTTTAAAATGTACTTTAAAACCATCTTAGAGACATCTCCTATTTTGTA